GGAGAATAACGTAATTAATATTTGAACGTATTATATGTATATATATTTTTATAATGAAAGTTACAATAATAAAAAAAAATGCATTACGATTTCATATTCGATCTCGAAACATTCAATATATAAAGAAGTTGAAGTTACATCGCGCGAAAAGCTGTTGTTTAAACTTTGTGATGGATCGACAATGGGGACAATGTTGGACGATAAAATGAAAATAAAACGAATGAAAAATTTATCATCGAACGATGTTAGATCACTGGGCGAACACTCGGTACAAGAAGTACAAGATCGCAATCGCGTGAGTATATTTGGCTATACTCCACGATTACAATTTCGCGTGGCACCGAATGAAAAATAATTTATTCTATCGGCGTCACGTGCGTAACTAGTCGCGGTTGGTGCGAGTATCTGGTTCAAGGCAGTATTCTGCGTGCTCCACGGCTAGAAAAAAGCATGCTCCTCGTGCCTCGAACGTGATTTTTTTCTCGCGCTGATATCGCGTGGAATACATGGTACGAAACGTGCGCAATCCCAATGTTTTACAAGAAGGGAGAAAAAGATGGTATGGAAGAGAATTGGTGGCCAGGTTTTCTCGATGAAACGTGTTTCCTCACGTGTTGGGCGTTATACGTCTCTTTTACGACACGTGATAGCGCGTCGTCATCATCGAGCGACATCTCTCTCCTCGTTAAAGAAACGTAAGAGTCGTCGGCCGTACATCGCAGTCGTGGTCGTGCCATATCGCAGCACGCATACCGGGTTATGAACGTGTCGCATCGTTCGAATCGTATTGTCTCGTACGATCGATCGTCGATTATCCCTTCCACTTTGGGAAATTTTCGGCAACGGCATAAACGATTCTCTGCTGTTTCTTCGCGCGAATATATCGTATAATCGTCGATATAGATCGACGAACGCTTTTATTTCGAGTGGATAACGTAGTAAAGCGGTAACGTGCGTCAAGATTCGAACGTTAGTGACGTGGTCGAAAAAGGGGGCGATATCTAGGAGGCACGTTTCTAGGAAACGTTTAGGAACGTGCCACTTACAGAAATATTCTTGGATAGGATATAGGATACAGTCTCTACTGTTTCCAATTAAATTGCTAAGAGGTCTTTTTATATCGAAGAACAATTCGAAGAAGTCGTTAGAGCGTGATACTCGGAAGAGGAAGTATAGAAGAGTACAACGTATCGTCTTTCGCGCGTTTTTCATTTTGGAACACGATGGTGACGCATAGCATGGACAACATTTTGAATATGCAATATTATCCTACGAACAGTCAAGTCGATGCGGTACCGCAATCATCGCCGTTGAGGAAGAGACGTTGTTTGAACAAAGAGGTGATGATGCTTCTCTTTTTTCAATTGAGAAAGATTTTTCATTGAGATTGAAATTGATATCGAACTGTGATATGAACGTAGCAACGATAGGTGATAAATGAAAATTCCAAGATTTCACGAAGGGATCGCGAAGTGACGACGACGTCTCTCTTAGGTCTTTTATTATAAGACAAAAAAAAAAAAAAATAACACTTGTCAAATGCAAATTTAAAAACTTTCAACGTGTACGTTAAAATATTTTATCGTTAATTTGGAATAACAAATATTTAGAAAGTTTGCGATAAATGACAACAATATTATCAATGATGCGATACTTTCTAATTATTTATTTCGTACTATATCGATATACGTTGTAACAATGCGATATTATCGCGTTATTGAGAACACGATTAACACGTTATCGCGCGAAAATGATTGAGATTTCTAACGTGTTGTTATTACGTTCGTTACAGCAAGATCCAATGTCTCATAGGATCATCGAGAAACGAAGACGAGATCGTATGAATAATTGTTTGGCCGATTTAAGCAGACTGATACCGGCCGAATATTTGAAGAAGGGTCGAGGAAGAGTGGAGAAGACGGAAATTATCGAAATGGCTATTCGACACATGAAGCATCTTCAAGGCCTTCGACAAGGTATCGATCGAAAATACGAAGTAAGATAACGCGGAGGGAGTGGATTGGAAATATTAATGAAAATTTATAAAAAAATTGCAGAATCGAAACATCCTGCCGTGACGTCGGTACACGGGATGCATCCCGAGGACAGCGTGGACAGTGTCTCTCATTCGACTGTCGCCTCTACAGCGGCGGAACACTACAGGCTAGGTTTCCAAGAGTGTTTAAGCGAAACCATGCATTTTCTCGTCGAGGTCGAGGGTTTTTTCGCCAGGGATTCTTTGTGCGTTCAACTGATCAATCATCTGCAACAACATTGCGAGAAAATCTTAGCCACCAGTGAGTTGGAATTATTGAAAGAAGAAGTTAAAAAATCGATGCAGTTTTTGGACGAAAAAAAAAAAAAAAAAAGAAAAGAAAGATTTGGCGATATTTACATGTAATTGACGATTGCAGGTGACAGGCTTGGGTTTCCTCATCCCGAGATGCCCACGACGAACGGTGTCGCGAATGGTAGCGGTTATCCTCATACCAGCATTCCCACGATATGTCAGCCGAATGGTCACTCGGATCACGGCTCGAGTTCAGGCGTGAGTTCGTTCGGTGATCCGGAACGCCCTTTGCGACCAACGATCGCAATCCCACCACCGGCGATCGTAAGCGACGATAGCAATCACAGCACGCATTCGCACAGTACGCCACCAAGTACCACCTGTAAACCTTCCAACTACAAGTTTAAGAGCTCTATCAAGCAAAGGTTTTCCGCGGAGAGGATAAAATCTAGCCCGCCACCTACCACCACCAGCATAGAGAAGCCATCTTCCTCCCACGGTGTGCCGATCTTTGCTCTGCACGACGCTGGATCTTACTACGTCCCGTTAACCGTCGAAGCCTCTCTGTTAAGGCCTCATCTGAATTTCATATGGGACACCGGCCCAGACACGGTGCTTCATCCGGTCACGATATCGGTCAATTTCAACCATTCGAATCCGCCGGCGTGGTCGCATCACCATAGTCCCACGCACCAACAACAGACATAAACCAGACCAATGGCCAGCACCCGATGGTTACGTCTCTCATACGCCGCTCATGTTCAAGATTCGCGTTTTCGAAGGGAACGATCTCGGTGGTGAGAACGAGCGACGACGCGCAAATCTATCGTTATATTCGTTGTTCCGGGTAATAATTGATCGATATAATAATCATCGGATCGTCGAACGATTCGTATCAAGGTTTGTTGCGTTCGATCGACACTTCGTAAACGAGGAAACGATCGTCGCAATCGTGATCCCGATTATCATCTTTTTCTTTCCGGTTCTTTATTAGCTATTAAATAATAACCGAGGAACATTGGTATAGCGTGTTTACCGTTTTACGAAAAAAAAGAAAAAAAGAAAAAAAAAAGAAGATCGATGAGGATCATTTTTCCTTTCTTTCGTACACACATATATATGTATATATATATATATTTACCGAGGCTGTGGGTTGTCTTAGCATTTACGAGATATCGAGAGAAAGTGCGATATAGAAGTATCGTTGGTAGAGATAGAGTATTAGGGCTTGATCGAAGCCCCGGGTTGCTTTAGCTTCGGTATGTTTTTTTCTCCTCTTTCGTCGAATGTCGTCGCAATCGAAACCCGTTTCTCTCTCTCTCTC